CTATTTAGTTGACCAATCCCTTTCTCTCTTTCCCCATCTCCCACCAACACACATCTGAAAGCTCTCCTCACTCAGCCCAGCCAGCCATGATATTTTTGTATTTTTTTCTGAAAATGATTTTGTAAGAATATCACTGTGACTATACTGATCACTATGTATATTTTATCAAGAATTTAAACTTAATGCATATAAGGTTAGTCTGTAAAGCAGTGTCCTAAAAATTAAAAAAAGAAAGATGGTCTTTCAAAAAGGCTCACTCCTCTTCAGTCTAATGCTCTGAAAGGGGTAGGCTTTAAATATCTACAGACCATATAGTCTTCCTCCTTTGCAGGGTTTGCTAGCCACGTGATATTAGGAGGTTCATACAATTCAACTATTTTGAAGTAGGTCAGATACTCTGTTCACACTTCCTGTGTTTCCCCGTGTCCGATCGTTTGACAGGATAATTGCTGTGCCTGAGCTTTCACATCATGCAGATAGGTCCTGCCATTCTCTCACTAGGAGTAATCTGATCATTGGAATTGAGCTACTAAATTCAGCTGTAGGATGAGATCCAGGTTACATGAGGAGTTGTACCTGAGCATGGGACTTTGGGTATTCTCCAGCTGGGAGGTAACACAGGTGCCCAATTAGGTACAGACAAAACACAAGGAGTAAATTCTCTTTCCTGTAGAAGCTGATATTATAAAGTCATTTTCGTTTGAAGAGATGATCAAAGAATATACAGCACCCCAAAATCATAGGGGAAAAGTGCTAAAGAATTGTGTTAGTTAATAAAAAATACAATGCATTTTTACAGAATTCTTTGAGACAGAATTAAAGACTTTCTTGAAGTGCAAGCTCAGAATTCAATACATGGTGAGTTTTTTCCAGCTGCATTCAGCTACACTGTGGTCTTAGAGTTGGAACTCAGGCAATCATTTTTGCTCAGAGTCAGATAACCGAGAGCAGTGGGAGAGGACAGGCCTATGGCTGTCATGAGGGTAATTACCACTGCAGGCCTCTATACAGTCTTCTCCTCTGCCTCTCTTCTCGCCCTGCACCTCTCTAGCCCACTGCCCAGGCCTTGTTGGAATGGGCTGTCTCTACCCCAGGATCTTGGCAGCATCCCTGAAGCATCCCCCACCCCATCCCTCCAATCCTGTCTCACATTGCAGTTAGAAGACTATTTTGAAAAAGGCAAACTCAGTCACTGCTCAGGCTTGAAATCCTTAGGAGGCTCCTTTGTTCTTCAGATAAGTTTTATGTTCCCTATTCTTGTCTTTTAACAGCTTCCGCCATGCAAACACCAGCATTAGCTTCCATACCAAGCAAATTACAGACATACTGAACGTTCTTTAGTTGTTTAAATGACACATATTTCTTTGTACACCTGGACAAGTTTACACATTACTTTCTATGCCCACAATGCCCCCTTCTTCTCCCACTTACCAAACCCCAATCCCAACCAAAACACATCATCTGAACCCTTTAATGATCATTTATATTTCAAGTTTATTTAAGGCCTCCTTCAAAATGTCCTTCCTAAATTCCTTAGTCAGCTAGGCTTTTTGTGAACTCAGCCCTTCTGTCCAGTTGCACTGAATCTCTAATACCTAGTTGAGTGCTTGGCACATAGAGAGTACTGCATGAGTATTTGTAATGTGAATTAATTCATAAAAATACATTCACATATCGATTAATGAATTGCCAACCTTCACAGCATCCTATGTTTTGTTATCTCCACTGAACAGAAGAAATTGAAGTTTAAAGTACCTAATATATTTGCAAAGGGTAATGTATTTAGTAACAGAATTGTCATTTTTTGCCAAGACTCTCTTGTTCTGAAAATTTTGTTCTCTCATCACCTGGCTGGCTTTCTCATTTTCATTTCTTTCTGATTTATCAATGCTTATCCTGACAAAGAAAGAGGTAATATAGTATTTAAGAGCACAGATTTTTGAGATAGACTGCAAGATTCAAATCCCTACTTCTGGCATTTACTAGCTATTGTGACCTTGAGCTATTTACTTAAAATTTCTTTGCCTTGGTTTCCATATATGTGAAATGGGAATAATAATTGCTTCATAGTGGTGTTGTAAAGATTAAATAAATTATTTTATCAAGAAACTGAGAACAATACCTGGCACATATGTGTAAGCTATATCTATTGGGTAACTAATTATCGCTTCATTTTTCTTATTACTTGTATAGCTTCATATCAGAAGAGAGGGGAGAGGGTTTTCTCTATTAGTGGTACCAGGCCAGATGTTCTGTTGTCCAGATCATTAAACTGTGCCTTTAAATTTGCCTTTTCCAAGAGATCCCTTTCTGGAGACTGAAGTCTACAATCCATACATCTGCACAGGACTGTTACCTCATGACGGTAGATGGCTGGGTTAGAGAAGACCCTTTCAAAATTGCTTCCCAGACCCAACTCTCTGAGGCTGGACTCCTTGTCAAGCCAATCATCCTCCAGGAACTGATCTGACTGCAGGAAAGGTATCCATTTAACACTGAGTCTTATGTCTACTCCTCTATTCTTGTGCTATATGAATTTTTCACTTGGCGAAAAAGCAGCAAATTTTGTGTGTTGAATGTAAATCCATGAAGCACAGAAAATTAGTGTTGTATTGATTAATGGTAGGAGAACTTTCTTATTTATATATCACAAGTAAGAGTAAAATTATATTTTATTGAGTGTCTAAAAATATTTATCTCCAGGCCTCTAACTTATGTAAAAATTTTCCCAAAGCAACTAATGAGCTTATAGGAAATTTTATGGGAAAAGAAAAATGAGAAGTTCTCTTTGATTTTAATTTGGACACTTCTAGGTATTTGTAATGACAGCATAAGTTGGTATGGCTTTTCTAGGAAGGAATTTAGATACCTAAACCTAACATCTTGAATATGTTGAAATATTTTCCACCCAGGATTTCCAAAACTCAGAATTTAGTTTAAAAGAAATAACTAGAAAGTTACATAAAAGTCTGTGGCAAACATCAATTCTTTGCTATCTACTTGTGTGTGTGTGTGTGTGTGTGTGCCTTCATGTTAACTTAATGTCTGTGTCACCCTAATATGTAAGCTCAATGAAAGAAGGGACTTTTTCTGTTTTTTTTTTCCCCAGCCATTATAATAAGCACTTAACAGATTACCTGGTATACGTCAAATATTCAACCACTATCTCTTATGTAAATCAGTCATTATTGTGATGTCTGATAAAACAAATGAGGAAGCAACTAAACAGCTAAATAAATATGGCCAAATGTTAGGATAGAACCTACCAAAAAGTCAAGGTTTTTTTTAAGTATATTGATTGACATAAAAAAAACCTCAACATTTTTACATGAGAAAAAGTTACAAACCATATAATCCTAATATTGCAAAAAAATTTTAAGAGAAAGTATTGAGTGGTTACATGGAACCACACATAATTCTTATTCTCTCTTTTAAAATTGTCCTTATTTCAAGTAATAAAATAAACTTCATTATTTTTAAATGCTGAATCAGGTTTGTTTTTTTTTTTTTTTAATAAGAGAGGCTTATAAAGACCATGTAACTACTTGGAAAATGACTAGGAAATAATTTAAATTGAAATAAGAACATAGAAATGCATCCTGGATTACTACTATGAAAATGTTACTTAATGTAGGGCTAATGAATTGACAAATAAAACTGACTTGTTAGTTTCTTGGTTTTTTTTATCTTTTCTTTCTCTCTTTCTCTCACTCCCTCCTCCTCCCTCTCTTCCTTCCTTCCTCCCCCACTTCTTTCCTTCTTCCCTCTCTCTCTTTAATTCTTTCCTTAATTCCATCAGTTTTGTTTTTTTTTTTTTTTTTGGTAAAAATTTCAATTAGAATCTCATTCAATTAGATTAAATTAGAATTCCATTAGCTGTTTTGGTAATTATTTAAAAAACTGGAGCCGGGTATGTTCTCCTTTTCTTCAGACACCCCTACATCTTTTAGGAGTTGCCAGGGCCTTCTTTACTAACAATCAACCAAGTACATCAGAGTTGTTCTTCCTCCATCAATCCCTAAATAGAACTAAAACCATACACAATGATGAGCTAACAATGACCTATATTTTTATTTAGCTCTTGTGCTACTATGAATGTCAGTTTTAATCTAAGATTATTTTATAGGGAAGAAAAATTATGAACATTTCTGAGGTAATAATATTTTTTTGTTTCTCTGCCTTCAGATACTTTTGATACATTTCATTTATGTTGTAAATGTTCCATCATTTTCTACTGAGTCTTTAACTAGAAGAAAATAATCGACATAAAATGCAGGGAACTTAGTATTCCTTGGCTACAGGAACAAGGTGTACCTTAACAAGGATTTAATTGTCATCTATAGTACTTCCAAGCTTACAGACCTCAGAGTAAAAACTGAATGAAGATTATTATTTAGGTTTTATTCCCATTTTGCTTCTTAAAAATGGCTACAGAAACCATTTGGAATTTTATAGAATTCTTGATGACTTCCCATTCCAATTATCTTGTGTATGGCCAGAATTTTAATTGATTTATGACAACTATAAGTTCTTCTACACACTCAGATAACCTACCTCTGAGATTTAAAAAAAAAAATCTTTCTCTGCACATGCCTTTTTATTTTCTACATTTTCTAATTCCAAGTCTTCTCTAAGACTTTTTCTTTTGTATTTTACTAAAAAAAAAAGAAAAACAAACAAAACAAAACAAGTATGGTGATAATTGAGGTTTAAATTAAGACTATTTTCGATTGAACTTTCTATTTCTCCCTCAGTGAACTCCTACTAAGCTTCTTCCTGCTCCTCTCCCTAGACAGAGGGACTACAGAATCTGCTTAGTAATTACTTAAACTGATATGAGGGTGTTTATATACTTTTCTGCATTCTATCTTTTATACATATTTTTTTTCTTTATCTTTATCTTTTATATCCTTGCATCATTTGTTTTCATGAGCTACTTATGAGCACAGAACCATTGAAAAGGAAAAGCCATGAAAATTTTCACTACCTATTGTTCATACCTTGAGAATCTTGCACATAATCTCATAAACTGAAAATGTTTTCTCTGCTCGGGTCCAGTCCCACGTTGTCACCTTTAAAAGATGAAAAACTAATATGTTATTTGTTTTAGAAAGATAACCCCAATTTCCCTCTTTCTTTTACTTACATAATATGGTGCACAATGAAACTTTCTCACATGTACTATATAGTCTCGTTTGTGGAGTTATTTTTATAGACGTCCATGTGTGGTATTTTGGTTTCCTCTCTTCTACATTTTATCACCATTTCTTTTCCTCTTTCAGCAAATGTTTTATGTTATATGTAACAATTTCCATTTGCCCAATGTACTTAAATATTTTAAATAATGTATGTATTACCTACGTATAAATACTAAGTATTTATATTTCACACATATAATAATTTTGCCACCAGTTACATATAAAGCAGAATACTAGATATCAATGGAGGCTTTAATTTTTTAAAAAGACAGTTTAAATAGGGAAGTTATTTCAAGATGTAAATGCCTTATAACATTGTGAAGACACCAAACACTACAATGAAGTTATTTCACTCTCTTATGTTTAAAACATATATTTGTCTGTCTAGTCATAAGAAATTATTCAGAGTAGGAATATAGTAAGATATATAAATATTAATGGCTTTTTTCTTGCCTTCCAGGTGCTTTGAACTTTGTGTAGACATAGTCATTCAAAATAGCAGCAGGTCAGGCTTGATATTTCCAAGACCCTATGTAATATTAGACTTGTAAGTGAGTGGTCTGGCATTTGATATTTATACTCAATAAATATTTATTGAGAATCTACTATTGTGTAAGGTACATGTTTCCAAAAGAAAGACCTTAGGTGCAATAAGTACACATACATATTTAATACAAAGACCAATGACTAGAATACAGGAAATCAAAATGCTATTTTTTTTTTCATTTTGGCGACCATAAATGCCTAAAAAGAAATGCCTTCCAGGGTTATAAAATAAATATTTAATGCCAGAATATATATCTTTAGGAAGGTATTTTCAGAAACATTTGGACTGTTTTCTATTTTTTTTCTGTATTTTATTTTTAAAATATATTGGTAATATGCTATTTACTATTATTAAATTGATGTCACTCTGTCATGACAATATGGGAAAAGTAAAAAAAAAAAAAAAATAGACAAAGACACTTACTGGAGGTGCCAGAAATTTGTAAAGACATGATCCCCTCAGGGCTAGAAATGTTGGTGAGTACACACGATCTTGTAGAGGGTCTTGCTCCCGTGCTTCACACCAGCCCATGTAGACTATCTGCAAGAAAATTGAACATGATGAACAGTCAAAAAAAAGTCTCATTTCAGATGTGTACTTTTCATATCTTGGGTATTTTAATTCTCTCATAAAATTATCAAATTAACTGATGCAAAAAATACATTAGCTTCCAATAAGTGAATGTGAACCACTCCTAAGAGTTTATGTTTCTGTCAGCACTTATGAGGTGTTTGGTGTTTATGTGATCCAACTTGGCATAAATTATATCTCCCACTCTCCACCATTCCAACTATAAAAATGTTTCTTCATAATAAAATTTATTGACTTCTCCTATCAGTTTCCCAATAAGTGGCCTTTTACTATGGGGATGTGCTCCCAGAATAAAATATTTAAGTGGGAAAAAGAGATGAGTCAAAGACAAGTACCTTGTGTGACTACCACTGTTGTGGTGTACTACACCTCCCCTCTACCTGACAGGATGGAATGACAACTCTTCTTGTTTTAGTCACGAATCTAAGATGAATATAGTTTATTCAAACATTATTCATATATCAAATGGCAATGACAACAGCTCTTTTGTCTCTAGATCTTAAATATTTGTGGGTCAATTTCCAAAAGGAAATCATGTGAGATAAGCCACTCCTCCTTCAATCATTTGATTGTTGTGAAGCCCAAATATAGACATAAACATTTATTCAATGAATTTTATATTCCTGACAATGTATTCATATGTCATTTATCTCTTACTGCAACTCTGTATGGTAGAAGTATCTGGGAAGATATATTTCCCACCTCATGTAACTTACTTTGGTTTTATGGTTGACAGGATGTTCTTTCCTGTTCTTAGACATTTTCTTTTCTTTTCTTTTTTTTTTTTTTTTGCTATGAGATCTGTTATGACTAATGGGATATTAATACACATGACACAAGTAGAGTTGGACTTAGTATCTTGTGCTTCTGCCATTACAATGAGAAAAGCATACCCAACCTATGTGGAGTCAACCAGAGCCAAAACTACCTCTTGGACAAAGTTTAGCCAAGTCCAGGCTAAAGACTAATTAAAAACAACCAGTTCACTTGCAGAGAGAAATAAAACACAGATAAATAGACTTCCCATTTTCATGGGTTAGAAGAATTATTTAAAAAAATATTCATAATATCCAAATTGATCTACAGATGCAATACCATCCCTTTCAACTTCCCAGTGGCATTCCTTAGAGAAATAGAAAAATTATCTTAAAATTCATATGGTACCACAAAAGGCCCTGAGTAGCCAAAGCAATATTGAGCAAGAAGAAAGCATTGTACTTTATGATTTAAAATATATTACAAAACAATAGTAACCAAAACATAAGATATGGGCATTAAAGCAGGTATATAGAATGGAGCAGAAGCAAGAGCCCAGAAATAAATTCAGGGTCAACTGATCTCTGACAAAGATGCAAGAATGCACAATGAGAAATGGATAGTCACTTGAATAAATAGCCTGGGAAAACTGGATAATCACATGCAGAAGAATGAAGTTGGATCCTTATCTCACCATATACAAAAATGAATTAAACTCAACTCAACTCAAAATGAATTAAAAATTCAAATGTAGGCCCTAAAACCATAAAACCACAAGAAATACAATTTTAAAACATTATGCATTTCCTGTGTATATCTCCCAAACTGGCTACAATTAAAAAGACAGGAAGGGACAAATTTTCATGAGGACATGTAGCAAGGTAAAAGCTCATATAAAGCTGGTAAGAGTTTGATTCTTCACTTCTAATATCAACTCAACACAAATGTGTATACATGTGCACTGAAGCACATGTATAAGAATATTCATGTAGCAGGGTGCCTGGGTGGCTCAGTAGGTTAAGCGTCTGTGTTTGGCTCAGGTCATGATCCCATGGTCCTGGGATCGAGCCCCACGTCGGGCTCCCTACTCAATGGGGAGTCTGTTTTTCCCTCTGCCCTTCCCTCTGCTTGTGCTCTCTCTCTCTGTCAAATAATAAATAAAATCTTTTAAAAAAAGAATATTCATGTAGCATTATTCTTCCTAGTTCCAACTACGTACCAGATAGTTTGAGATATTAAAATGTGTACCCTAAAAATACTTTACAGAAAAAAATAACAATAAATTATGGTATAATAAAGTAATAGTACACAACAAGGAAAATTACTAAATTATAGTTACATGGAAAAACACAAATGAATTTCACAGAACATGCTAATTGAAAGAAGAAGATATGGAATAATAAATACACACAAACATATATAATTTGATTCAAATAACTTGTTTTGGAATCCATTTCTGGTTGGGAAAAAAAGTACTATGGAAAGCAAGACAATTACTACCAAAATTGTCAGGATAATGGTTACTTTAAAAGACAGCAAGCCAGCTGTGACTGTGGAGAATGCAGCATGGGGAGAAAATGTGAGTTACTAGCAATCTACTTTTCTTGACCTGGATTGTGGCTATGTAGAGGTTTGGCTTTTGAATAATCAAGCGGCAGGTTTATGTTTTATGAATTTTCTTTACATGCATTATGTTTTATAAAACCCCTTTTAAAATAGCATGCTGTGTGTATTATTAATAATAGTTTTATAACAATCTCAATATAACAGAGCTTTGTGAGTTTTATGGGGAAAAAAGTATTCTGACAAATATGGTTAAATTGCAGTCATTCTTGCATTCTTTATGGTTAAATTGCAGCCACTGAAATGAGATGAAATTTTAGTTATTACAAATTATTTAATCATTGTATCACTTCACAATTAGGTCAGAATCTTTCATTTTAACTCAATTTGATAAAAATTATAGTTTCTCTATGTTTATGACTTCTCTGTATTGGTAAGAGAAAAAATAATTGAGTGGTATACATAATTATGAGAAGGAAATATTTAAGCTTCTTAAGACTGTGAAATTTGAGTTCTTTGTCTCTTCTTGCCTCTATAATTTGCTGGAAATTGAAATATTAAGAACAATATACTGATATTTTTCAAGAAATATCATTGAATACAATTTTATTATTTTGAACTGAGTGTAGCTTTGGGGATGAGTTGATGACATAACTAAGAAAAATGGGATTATCAGATCTGTAAGGGATATTTCTTCATGCTTGTTCTCCAGGCCAAGGATTGCCCTTATCATCTTCTGTTCCAAAACAAGGAAAAGAAGTTCTGCTCAATTGTGCAGAGATGTCAAAAGGCACCCTTTAGTTTTCATCATTATCTGGACTCTTGTGAAATAATTATATGGTTGAGGAGACCGAGGCATTTTTAGTAAATTCTTCCCATGCATGTCACAGCAAATGATAATTCTAAAACAAAACAAAACAAAACAAAACTATATCACTTAATCCTAAAAAAAAATTTAAAAACTTAAATGGACCATATAGGCATAAGAGTATTTCAGTGGGATATTTTAGAAATAAGGATAATTAAAAGGAAATGGTTTCCCTTGCATATGAAATGACAAGAGGACTTCCAAAATGTATAATTTTAAGATAAATATTTCAGAAGCTTGCCTATTTTTCAGCTTTACTGAGGTATAAATAGACAAAATTATAAGGTATTTAAAGTTGTACATTGTGATGATTTGGTGAACACATATATTGTGAAAGGATTACATCTAGTTAACATATCCATCAATCTCACATATGTAGGTATTTTATTTATATAGATCAGAACATTTAAGTTCTACTCTCAGCAAATTTCAGTTATATGATACTGTGCTAACTATAGTCACCATGTTATTACATCAGATCCTCAGATTTTATTCATCTTACAGGTGAAACTACACCTTTACACCAACCTCTCCTCATTTTTTCCAGTCTCTGGCAACCACTTTTCTACTCTTTGATTCTCAGTTTGACTGTTTTTTTTTTTCTATTCCACATATGAGTGACACTATGAAATATTTGTCTTTCTCTGTCTGGCTTATTTCAATTAATGTGATGCCCTCCAGGTACATTCATGTTGTCACAAACAACAGGATTTCTTTCTTTCTCAAGGATGAATATAAAATAGATCTCACTTCTCCTTTATCCATTCATTTGTTAATGTACATTTGTTTCCATATCTTGGGCTATTGTGAATAATGCTACAATGAGCATGGAAGAGAAAATATATCTTTGAGGCCCAGTTTTCCTTTCCTTTGGGTATGCTAGATCATATGGTAGATCTATTTTTAATTTTTTTAGGAAGCTCCATACTGTTTTCCACAGTTGACAGCACAAGTGAACATTCCCACTAAAAGTGGACAATTGTTCCCTTTTCTCCACATCTTCACTAACTTTTGTTATCTCTTGTCTTTTTGATGATAGCCATTTTAACAGGTGTGAAGGTGATATCTCATTGTTGTTCTGATTTGTATAAACCTGCTTATTTTATTTTACTTATTTATTTTTTAATTGTTATGTTAATTACCATACATTACATCATTAGTTTTAGATGTAGTGTTCCATGATTCATTGTTTGTGCATAACACCCAGTGCTCCAAGCAGAACGTGCCCTCTTTAATACCCATCACCAGGCTAACCCATCCTCCCAGCCCCCTCCCCTCTAGAACCCTGTTTGTTTTTCAGAGTCCATTGTCTCTCATGATTCATCTCCCCCTCCGATTTCCCCCCTTCATTCTCCCCCTCCTGCTATCTTCTTTTTTTTTTTTTCTTAACATATATTGCATTATTTGTTTCAGAGGTACAGATCTGAGATTCAACAGTCTTGCACAATTCACAGCGCTTACCAGAGCACATACCCTCCCCAGTGTCTATCACCCAGTCACCCCCTCCCTCCCACCCCACCCCCCACTCCAACAACACTCAGTTTGTTTCCTTCAATTAAGAATTCCTCATATCAGTGAGATCATATGATACATGTCTTTCTCTGTTTGACTAATTTCGCTCAGCATAATACCCTCCAGTTCCATCCACCTCATTGCAAATGGCAAGATCTCATTCCTTTTGATGGCTGCATAATATTCCATTGTATATGTATACCACAACTTCTTTATCCATTCATCTGTCGATGGACATCTTGGCTCTTTC